AAATGTGAAACCCCATTTTTAAAACTAACAAATTTCAAGAAAATGGTTCAATGTAGAACGAGCGATGTATTTAATACTTGAAAAATGTAAGGACTTCTTTTCACACAGTATCTGCATTACATGTTTTTGGCCTATAAAAATGCTAATAGATTTTAGTTTGTCTTTAATTTTGTGGTCTTTTTCTGTTTTGTTTTTTTCTCGTAACAGCATTGGCAAGATCAAAATTATTAAGTTGTAGATTAAAATGACTAAAAAAAAGATATAGTTAGAAATACTATATGAAATAATAAATCAGATGTTTAGTGATGAACTATGTACAGAATGCACATTTATGCTATATTATTCTACTTTGCCTTCCTTATCAATATATTTTCAACGTATATTATTTATATTTGATTACCTACATCACAGCTATCAGCATTTTTATTTTTGCTTTTTATTATGATTTTTAAAACGTTGTCTAAAGTTTGATTTTAAGGGGATCTCAACACTAGGAACTCACAATATACTTTTTTATCAACAGCGGCAAGTTCTATTTATAAATACACAAACTGCGTTCACTTCTGTCAATCTTTATTCCTAAAAAAATGGTGAAATCTTTATTTTTATTCATTGTATTATTTTCTTTTGCTCATAACTATAATACATCTGCATTTTTTAAATAATAAATATTAGACGTGTGCACAGCGAGAAGATTTGGTTCAGATACACCATTTCCCCCCCCCCAAATTAGAACATTTTTAGGATGCCTGAATTTCAGCCATATATCCGTTCAGGCCTGCAGAATTTTGGGACCAAAAAAAACCAAACTGAATAGGAAACACAGAAGAGGAACCAAAAGAGTAAAAATATAAGCCAATTGATGTACTGAAAAATATTTACATAATAGAACATTGTGTATATATTTTGCAGAACACTGATATGCACGTTTCTTCACCATTTGGTTAACAAATTAAGCGAGAAAAAGTAGCCAATGGAGGGAAAAACAGGAGCAGTAAAACGATATTTATATATTATATTTATTAAATATATAATATATAAAGTTGTGCTCCAAAGTTTGCATATCCTTGGAGAATTGGCAATATATGTACCATTTTTAAGAAAACATGAGTGAGCAGGCAAAACACATTTATTTTATTTTTTATGGGATTCATATTAGGTTATAAAAGAATGGTACAATCACAAAACAAAAAATGGCAACAAAGAAAAAAATGAAATGAAAAAATAAAATAAAAAGTCTGCATACACTTTGTTCTTGATACTATGTATTGTCCCCTTTAGCCAAGGAAGCCAGTGATGCATCAGCTGATCATCTGCAATAAGCAATGCATAATTTCCAAAGTTTCCAGCCCCATTACTGCGGCAAGAAAGCCAGTCCTACATCAGCTGATCATCTGCAATAAGCAAAGCCTGGTTTCAAAACTTTCCAGCCCCATTACTGCTGTAAGAAAGTCAGTGCTCCATCAGCTGATCATCTGCAATAAGCAAAGGTAGCCTTCTGGAGGACCACTAAGACTCTATCTTGAACACTATCATTAAATTATAACTTAACCACCCTGTAAATTTACTTTATTTTAAACGTTCTTTGTGCATTGCATATTTTCTTACATTTATGTCTTGTATGTAATGCTAAGGGGTAGTTTTATTAGCCCCTTATGGAATTGTTTTTATTCACATATATGCATATCTCTATATCCCCTCTGATTTCTGCCCTTTGACCCATCCCTTCTTTTCATGATATCCACTCAAATGTTTTTGTTTGAATAACCATCCCCTCATCTCTGTGCTTAGATGCATATCCCCCTCCCTCAGCTGTATTGCAGGCCTATCTGACCCTCACATACCTTTCTTCCACAGCCTGATTTCCAAACTTTCCAGCCCCATTAATGCTGCAAGAAAGACTGATACCAGCCCACCCCAAGCTCATTATTACATTTATAGATAGTTTGTCACACCCACATTTTAGATAAGCAGAAACAGCAGTTGTACACACTGCCTCTTATCAGTACACTCCTGCACTTTCTTAACCCCTAAAACTTAATATTTCCCTTCCTACTCCTGTTTTTGATATTCCATTTTTTTCCCAGCTTAGCAATGCTCTGTCTTCTCCTCCTCTTTATTTCATCCTTCTCTCTCAGTATCAAAATCTCTCCTTATACCCACTTTCCTCATCTTCCCAACAACCTTTACATTTCCCCCCTCTGCTACCCTCCCCCTTCTCTCAACTCATGCCCTGCACTCATTTTTCTGCTCCCTCTCTCCTACCCACACTCGATCTCATCCTAGATCCCATGCATATAAAACCCACTCACACCTCCTTCTTATAGCAGCTGGTGATGTCTTTGCCAACCTAGGGCCCTTTGCCTCCTCTGCACACACTAAGACAACCAAAAACCACACAAACCTCATCACAATACCCTGCCCTTTACCCTTATTTGCCAACATTTAGTGTGCACTCTGGAATGCCCGCTCTGTCTGCAGCAATCAGAAATCAACAGCCATACACAACCTTTTCATCTCAAACTCACTCACACTACTAGCACTCACAGATACCTGGCTTTCCCCCTCTGATAGTGCTACCCCTGCCTCTTTTTTGGTGGGCTACAATTCTCCCATACTCCCAGACCCAACAACTGTAAAGGAGATGGTGTAGGCATCCTTTTCTCCCCTCAATGTACCTTTCAACCAATCTCCCCTGTCCTTGCCCTATCCTTTAATTCCTTTGAAGTTCACACTGTCTGTCTATTTAAACCCATTCCTTTAAGAATTTATATCATTTACCGCCCCACCCCTCCCCCCCTGCCCCCCACACAGGCATCCTAGGCTATTTATTGATCACTTTTCTTCCAGGCTACCTCATTTCCTCTCCTCTAGCACTCCCTCCCTTATACTTGGGGATTTCAATATCCCAATCAACAACCCCAACTGCACTGATGCCTCTCGTCTGCTCTCTGTAACCTCCTCCTTTGGCCTCTAATTCAGCAACCCATACAGCGGGAAACACCCTTGATCTCGCCTTCACCAACCTCTGTACTGCCTCTAATCTCTCCAATATTCCTTTTCTCTGACCACTAACTGCTGACTTTTGACATCAGCACATCCAAGACCCAACTGACACCACCCTCTGCACATTTATATCACAGAAAACTCCAATGTCTTGACCTAGAGAACTTCTCCACTAACCTCCAAACTCTCCTTTTACCTTTCTCAAACCTCACCAGCCCTAACTCTGCAATCTCCTTCTACAATTCCACCCTCTCCTCTCAACTAGACATCATGGAACCCTCTACACTTAAATGCAGTAAGCACCCTTGTAGCGGATGGCACTGGGCTGTCCTGGAAATTGCATATGTGTGAATGTATTCGTGTAAATTGCAGGATTATATGTATCTAAATAACATGTATTTGTCTGATTGTTCTGTAGAATCATTCGAATAACTAAGGGAATGAAACTACCGAACAGTCAGACCTCCCCTGTGTGAAGTGTGCCTTCAATTACCCGTTGCAACAATGTTGCAAATGGGTAATTGACAAGCTGTGCGGTAGGTCCTTTGTTCTCGGGGTGGCCACCATTCGGGAAACGAACACGTGGCAGCGGCCATTTTAAAACTCCTGAACAGCGGTGTTTTGCTGTCGAGTGTCTGGAACCTAAATCGGACACTCGACTAGGCAAACACCGCTGAGACCTCCATACTCACGATACGTTTGCTTCCAAACTACCGAACGGCCCCTCGTTCGGTAGAAAGAAACCACCGAACGAGGGGATTCATGCAAACCCTACCTGATCTCTGTAGCCTTAGCCTTTCGTGCAATTTGTTCCCTTATACTGTGACCAACCGCAGTGCCCCATCGCATGGAACCCAATTCGGCGGTTCTCTCCAGCGCGGTCGGTCTTTTTATTACCTCCACGAATTTCCCGAACCCCTGGTCTGATCTGGGTGATTTTTGGATATGTTGCTCACCCAGATCAAGGCTACCAGGGGATGTGCCATTTAAAGGGGTACCCCTAGGTTTAGGGGTACATCCAGAAACTGGGGGAATTTGTGTACAGTATAAGGGGATTATGAGTCAGGCTGAGGGGAGGAGATGTGTGGGAGGTTACTAGAACAGGATTGGAAACTGTATTAATTAATGAAAATCCCTCCCTTGCATGGGAGCATGCTTTATAAGGCCACTGTGAAAATAAAGGTTTAGTTCTGCTCCTGATGCTGTGTGTCGTCCAGTTATTGGGATTGCTGTTGGGATAGTGCTATATTGTTTTACCTGCTGGAAACCTTGCTTTATGGATTTATAATTACTTGTTCCTGAGCCTCACTGGGATCCTGAGCAGAGATATCCTGTGGAATACTAGATCTCCGCTACAACCCTCAACTACAACCTTGGCACACCAAGCTGACTCGATACCTCCAAAAAGGCTTCAGAACTGCTGAATGCTTCTGGAGGAAGTCTCACTCCACATCTCCCTTTTTCCACTATAAATTTATGCTGCACCCTTACAGCTTAGGTCTTTCCTCTGCAAAAGTAAATTACTTCACTGCCCTCATAACCGCCAACCCAAACAACTATTCCACACTTTTAACTCTCTTCTTCGCCCTGTTGATCCTCCTATCGACTTAACCGCCACAAACTTTGCAACTCACTTCACTGACAAGATTTCTACTATCAGGGAAGAGATCTCTTATTGCTCTTCTTCCCCTTACAATACTTCCCCTAACCTCACTCCCTCTGCTGTTCTATGCTCATTTGCACCCGATATAGCAGAAGAGATTTCTGATCTGCTCCGGTCCTCCCACCCCACCACCTGCTCCCTTGATCCTATTCCCTCGCAACATATCCATACTCTGTCTCCTTCTATTGCTTTGCCTCTCACTAAAATTCTCAATCTCTCCCTCTCCTCTGGCATATTTCCATTAACCTTCAAACATGCAAATGTAACCCCGATTCTAAAAAAGCCCACCCTTGACCATAACTCCCCGTCCAACTAGCACCCCATCTCGCTGCTGCCTTTTGCGTCCAAGATCCTTGAAAGACTTGTGTATATGAGATTGACAGACTTCCTCAAGTCCAATTCTCTGCTCCACCCACTTCAGTCTGGTTTCCCCACTCAGCACTCTGTGGAAATGGCTCTGACCAAAGTATCAAACAATCTACTCGCTGCAAAATCTCATGGTCACTACTCTATCCTAATTCTCCTTGACCTTTCCGCTGCTTTTGATACTGTTGATCATCAACAGCTTCTTCTCATCCTCAGTAATCTCAGTCTACGAGATATTGCTCTCTCTTGGTGCTCCTCCTACCTCACACAGCACTCTTTTAGTGTTTCTTTCTCTGGCTCTGCCTCTTCCTCACAACCTTTCTCTGTTGGGGTCTCTGTGGGTTCAGTCCTTGGTCCCCTACTGTTCTTGATCTATACTGCCTCCATTGGTAAACTTCATCACTATACCTTGCCCTTTACCCTCATTTGCCAATATTTAGTGTGCACTCTGGAATGCCCGCTCTGTCTGCAGCAATCTGAAATCAATAGCCATACACAACCTTTTCATTTCAAACTGACTCACACTACCAGCATTCACAGATACATGGCTTTCCCCCTCTAATAATGCTACTCCTGCCTCTTTTTTGGTGGGCTACAATTCTTCCATACTCCCAGACCCAACAACTGCAAAGTAGGTGGTGTAGGCATCCTTCTCTCCCTTAGTAAACTCATCAGGTCCTTTGGATTCCAATATCACTTTTAAGCAGATGACGCGCAAAGCTATCTGTCCACCCCTGATCTCTCCCCGCCCCTCTTGACTAGTGTATCTGACTGCCTCACTGCTAAATGGATGGGTGCCTACTTCCTTAAGCTCAACTTGTCCAAAACAGAACTTCTGGTCTTTTCTCCCTCAAGTGTTGCTACTCCTGTTTCTGTCTCCCTCCACGTTAATGGTGCTACCATCACCTTCACCATGCAGGCTCATTACCTAGGTGTTCTCTTTGACACCGACCTCTCCTTCACTCCTCATGTCCAGTCTATCTCTAAATCATGACGCTTCCATATCAAAAACATTGCGGGCATCCAACCCTACTTAATGCCAGATGTAACTAAGGTGCTGGTCCATTCCACTGTCCTTTCTCGCCTTGACTACTGCAATCTGCTTTTCAGTGGTCTTACGTGCTTCCAACTTGCACCGTTACAGTCCATAATGAATGCGGCGGCGAAGCTTATCTTCCTGTCCGCCCGCACCTCCCATGCCTCACCCTTCTGTCAGTCCCTACATTGGCTTCCTGTAAGATATAGGGCTCAATTTAAAATTCTGGTTCTTGCTTTCAAATCTCTACATAATGATGCTCCCACCTATCTATCCTCCTTAATACACAAGTATGTGCCGTCTAGGCCCTTGCGCTCTGCTGAAGACTTACGTCTATATTCTGTCCGTACTCCCACCTCTGATGCTCGCCTTCAAGACTTCTCGAGGGCTGCACCGTTGCAGTGGAACTCACTCCCCTCCTCCTTTAGATGCTCACCCAGTCTCCATTCCTTCAAAAAATCATTAAAAACTCACTTTTTCACAAAAGCATATTAATAAAACTTTTAATGGCTCAAAAAAAGCCCACCCTAAGTCTTTATCGAATACTATTCTACCAGTCTACTTCCCTAATACTTCCCTTACTTTTTGTGTCACTTTACCCCACTTCCTCTAGCATGTAAGCTCATTGAGCTGGGCCCTAAACCCCTCTTTTTCTCTGTGTCAAACTTGTCTGGTTTTAATTACATGTTTGTTAGTCCACCCATTGTAAAGCACATTGGAATTTGTTGGCGCTCTATAAATATAATAATAATAATAGTAATAATAATAATATGAGGTCCCTAATTGTTGCAGGTAGTATAGCTGTCCATTCATCTTGGAAAAATGCCTCCAGGTCATGCAAAGTCTTTGGTAGTCTTGTTTGAACCACACCTTTGAGATTTCCCCAAAGTGGCTCAATGATATTAAGTCAGGAGACTGTGATGGCCACTACAGAACCTTAACTTTTTTCTGCTGTAACCACTGGAGGGTGAACTTGACCTTGTGCTAAGGGTCATTGTCATGCTGGAAAGACCAAGAGCATCCCATGCCCACCCTTTTTGAAGAAGAATGCTAATTGTATGCCAGTATTTTCTAATAACATGCTGCTTTCATCTTGCCATCAATTTTCACAAGATTCCTTGTGCCTTTAGTGCTCACACTCCCCCCCTACCCCCCCCACAAACAAAAATCACTAACATGCTTCATAATGGGGATGGTATTCTTTTCACTACAGGCCTTGTTGACCCCTCCACAAACACAGTGTTTATGGTTGTAACCACAAGGATCTTTTTGGTCTGTAAACTTTTGATCAGGGCCATTTGGGTGATTTCTGTTATTAATTTCTGTTAAATTAATGCCAACATTTTCACAATTTCTGCCAGGGTGGCAAACTTTTGACTACAACTTTAAATATAATTTTTTTTACTGCTTTTCCCTTTTTTGCTTTATTTGTCACTTTTTATTTACTATGTGAATAAAACCAACATTTAGTGAGTGACCCCTCACCATCAATCATCGTTTTTCCCCATCAATCATCTCTGCAGGCGGGCGTAATTTAGAATCACGCATCAAAACTACTATGTTCGACGTTGTGCGGCTTGTTTGGTTAATGACATTTCAGCTTGGAGTTCAGGAATTCGACCAACCACCCGATTGGCCCACATTTGGCTGAATTATATCTCGAAGTCTAATAAATATTCAGCACTATGACAGACATTAGACTAACGAGGTTACTCACTAAATTGTGCATAGATGGATATTTAATGTGAAAAATAGCATTAAAGGACAATTAACTAAATATATTAATCTTTATTTATAATGATGTGATAGTCGGTGTCCATTTACAGGCACTTGTTATTGCCATAGTTATTTACTAAAGTGTGAATTGTTTGGAATGTAAAATACATTTTTAAATTGAAGTAAATTAAAAGTACATTTAAAACATTAAGGCAAACATTAAATGTTTAAATATTTTGACCTAAAATGTGAAATTTCTTTTGATTTAACTTTGAATTCTCAAAAACTTACACTTTATTGAAAACACCTGTGAATATTTAAACTTTTGTGATATGTGATTTATTTTGTGAAACTCTTTTTTTGACTGTGATGAAACAAATATTTAGTTCCTAAAAAGTTTTGAATACTAACCGGGTTATTCACTAAAATGAGAATTCAAGGTGAAACCATGGTGAATTTCATATTTAAGGTTACAATATCCAAACTGAAAAACAATCTCTAAGTCAGCTATATTTTAATTTCTGCTACTCTTACTTTAAATTTGAAATTCACATTCAATTCAATATGAATTCTCTCTTTAGTAAATAATCCTGTGAGAATCTCAACAGAGCAGCTCTCTAATTTATTTTATCAACAAATGAAACAACTGATGAAAGATTTAAAATGAAAATTTAGAAGCGACTGAGGAGAAAATTGTTTTCATTTATAAGAATTATGTATTCTAACATAATCAAATCAGTCATCTTAAATCTTTACAAAAACATTAAACATGAATTATTATCATTCTATTGTTTTTCTTATTGAACAAGAAGCATTGAAATTTTGTAACTAATAAAAATCTTGCTTTGGGTTGATTAGATTTAGAACAAACTCAACTTTCAATTCTAGGCAGAAATGTTCAATATCACTCTATAATTAACTTCATAAATCACTACTTTCCATTTATTTCTTATAGAAAAACATCTACACACTAGGAATGATAGTACAGTGCTTTGGCCACAAAGAATTTCAGTGATGTATGACTCTCCTTCAGTCTTAAACTTACACAACAAATTTAATTAGGAACAGTGTTAAACTTTGATATGCCTTGTAAGAACAATTACATTCTTCCAATCTGTTCAAATAATCATGCATTCTGATCAGTATTTTAAATAGAAAACTGTCACCTACACAGTTCTCTTTACAGTACAAATGTGTAATTGATTTAGTAACTTAATTTGAAAATAAATAATTGAACTAGTTTGTTCAATTTAAAATCAGTTTAAAAGCCACTGGAACTCATCAAACAGCATGACTAATAATTACACTGACTCCTGCCTGAATTTTATATATAAGGGAATAATGTTTGACACAGCTTCCACATTTCCAAATATAACATTCCACAACTAATAAAAAAAATATATTTTTTAAAACCTCAATTTTATTTGTACATCTTTAAAACAACACAGTGGTACTATGCAAACCCCCCTCGCCTCCCCCCCCCCCCAAAAAAAAAACAAAAAAAAACAATTCAGAATGGATGCCTACCTTGTTCCATTCATATTAGACTTTAAGTGACACTCTAGGTATCAATACAACTTGCATTGCTAATGCAGTTGATAGATTAGATTTTGGTCTCATCAACATGCTGTATTTTTTTTTTTTGCAAGCACAAATCATTATAGTTTTTGCATTAAAAAATGTTTTGCAGCCTGCTGCACCATAAGCCTGCCTCTTTAGCCACCCTCCCCCTCTCCTCATTCCAGATAGACATACTTATCAAATGTACGTGTACAGTCTCAGCACCAACAGCACTGAATGATGTGAATTACAGAGCAACCTACATAAGAGGGAGATGACCCCCACAGAAACATATATTAGGATATCACTACCTATACTATAAACAGGTAGTGATATCATGGGTGCCCTCTCCTAATGAAAGTTGCTTTGTAGTTCAGATTATTCAGTACTGTCAGTGACTGAGCTGTATGCATACATTTCATATGGAAGTCTTTTTCTGGAATGAGAAGTGTGTCGCTAAAGAGGCAGGCTTATAGTGCATCATCGTACAAAACATGTATTTGTTTATGCAAATACTATACAAATTTTGGCATGCAAAAATGCAACATATAAATGAGACTAAAACCTATCAAATGCATTAAAATTGCATTGGTGCCCGTAGTGTTTCTGAGTGTTTACACACATAATGAACACATTACTCCTGTAAACTTACAAGACCACATCTGGTAAACTTCACCTCAATGTCTGTGCATACTGAAAAGATAAAGAATTACAATTGGACTGGTAAGCATACAGCAAGTGTGATCTTAAATAAAAGCCAAAAGCATTCCAAATCATGTCAGGATATGTGTGTATATGTTTAGTGGGGAAGAACTGCTAATTACAGCTCCTCTAGAGCAGTGTTTCCCAAACCAGTCCTGAAGACCCACCAATAGTCCAGGTTT